TGGATGAAGTCAACATCACTCAACAATCTGACAGGGAACCACAGCTGGCCTCTGTCCAGGCTAACTTAGAACCTTTAGATCGTCCCTCATCAACACAGTCTGCCCTATCAGTTCATTCTACCCACTCAAGTGTGCATGATACCTCTCTTCACCCATCCCAACCACAGAGGCCCCTATCTTCCTACGCAACAGAGAGACCAACTTCTAATCAGTCTGCTAATTCTGTTCACTCCCTTAATTCAATTAATTCCAATCGATCATCTCTCTCAGTCCACCCAAGTCAGGAAGAATCTTTTGTAGAGAATCTTCAAATGCCAACCCTTGAGACATCTTCCTTTCAAGCAGTGCCACAAGAGCAAAAGACAGACCTACCTGTCCCGTCTAATGTTACCAAAAATAGTTTTGAGCCATCCAATGATAATGGCATAGATCCAACTGCTACTCCCACTGGGCTTCCTATTGGCCCACCTCCGGTATCAGGTCCTTTAGGTGCTATGCCAAATCTTAAAGCAAGAAAAGGAAGTCCTTTCCAGCCTCCAAGCATGAAAAGAGGCATTGTACAATTGCAAAATAAATCAGTGCCTCAATCTATGTCTACTGATCCAGTTTTGATGGAACCCTCAGCAGCTGCAAATGATGATGCCCCTCCTGATAACAATGAAAATCCAAATGACACAGAAAAAAGTGGAGCACCACTTTGGTCAAATACGGAGGATGTTCCTATGAATGTCAAACTTGCTGTAGCTGCACCATCTGTACCAGAGACTATAACAAATCAGCAGCCAGTGGTGCCAAGTAACTCTATACCATTGGTAGTACCTGGCATGGTAAAGGAGGAAGTAACTGAGGCTGATCCACCAGTTGCACACAGCAACTTTGAGCAGCTACCTTGGGTTTCTCCAGAACCCCCAGCAGCTCATAATGCTCACTTCCTTCCTCCAACAGTGAAACCAAAGGTGCAGTCTCTCAGTAACATACCTGCTGATTCTTCCTCACCAGCAGTTTTGGATTTATCAAGACCTTCAAGATCTGCAATAGAACCACATGGTGATGGATCTCAGAAGACTGAAACACCAAATTTTAGTCGTATGGTCCCAGGTGAATCAAGCAAAGATGCTTTGGCTACTTCAGCATCAGCCTACCAAGCCCCAGTTGTGGTCCCATCAATGCCATCAGAAAGAGTGGTAACAGGTAATGATAATCCCCAGCCAGTGCTACCAGTCAGGATTAAGCAAGAACCATCTGAGGTTAGATCTCCTCCAGATGGTCCTGATACAAGTGACCCCTTGAATCAAGGAGCTTCTGTTGTGCCACCTGTCCGAAGTGAAACTATTGGGTCTGAAGAACCAGCTGCAAGGAATTTCACCTCAAATAACTCAGGAAGCAGACCAGATTTGACAAATGATCACAGAAATGAGAGAAGTGGAAGGTGGGAAAGGGAACATTCACGGGAAAGGGATAGCAGGAGCAGTGATCGTTATCGTGACAGAAGTCATGAACGTAGTCGAGATTACTACAGGGATGACTCACCACATAGTAGGAGATCCTATGATAGAGATTATGATAGAAAATATGATGATGACAGAAGATGGCGACGGAGAGAGTCTGATGAGGAGGATGATAACGATAGACGTTATTATGAATCACGGGACAGGAGAGAAAGAGCTTACAGGGATGAATTAGATCGCTATAGTGACAGACCTTTAAAGGAGGAGAAAGACAGAGTTCATCGAGAAAGTAGAGATTTGAGAGATAAGCGACGTGGTTATCGTGACAGATCTAAGGATTACTACCATAGTTATGATGATGATCCCTACTATGGCAGGTCAGATAGGTAGGCATCATTGAAATTAGTGATTAAAAAGTGCCTAGAAGTGTAGATTTTCAGATGGTATTAACATAATAAAATAAAGCATGTGCTCACTTTGTACCATTTCCTTAGTCTTTTGTCCAGAAAATTGATGTGTTGATTTTCCTTGCCTCAGAGCTCTTGCTTTCACTGATTTCATATGTGTAAAAGCAAGTGTATAAACCTTGTCTTGTATTATCATCATCATAACATTTGGCTTTCTCATTGGATTAGGTCACAACCAGTATCAAGATCAAGCAGCATCAATAACTTAGAGAACGATGGTGATCGCCCTGGTCACTCACACCGATCTCGCCATGACTACTATGATCGACATGACCGAAAGGACTCCCGTTCCAGGGACTCAGATCCTCGGGACAGGGATGGCCTATACTCCAGGGACCTAAGGGAAAGAGATTCCTCATATCACAGAGACATGAGAGATCCAAGGAGAGATCCACGTTTCTACAGCCAAAGAGGTGAGTGTAAAATCCAAGTTATTAGAAGGATATTTGCCCAATTATTGTACATTCTCTAGAGAGGTTAGTGAGGAAAAACAAATAAAAATTATAGAAAGTAGGAATGAGAATGGTATAGAGTGGGATTGTAGTATTGATAATGAATCGTGTTAACTAGAAAGAAAAATCGCATAAAGAATGATGTTGACAACACAGCTATTCAGTAAAGAAACATGAGAGTAAGCATTTCTACACATCTGCATACACACACACACACACTCTCTCTCTCTCTCTCTCCCTCTCTCTCTCTCTCTCTCTCTCTCTCTCTCTCTCTCTCTCTCTCTCTCTCTCTCTCTCTCTCTCTCTCTCTCTCTCTCTCTCTCTCTAACTCTTGCTTGTTTGCCATCTTTCTCTTGCTTTCTATCTCTTTCTCTTGCTTTTTGTCTCTTTTTCATGCTTTCTATCTCTTTCTCTCTTGCTTTCTATCTCTTATGCTGTCTCTTACTTTCTCTCTCTCATGCTATCTCTCTCTCTCTCTCTCTCTCATGCTATCTCTCTCTCTCTCTCTCTCATGCTCTCGCTCGCTCTCTCTCTCTCTCTCTCTCTCTCTCTCTCTCTCTCTCTCTCTCTCTCTCTCTCTCTCTCTCTCTCTCTCTCTCTCTTGCTCTTACTTTCTCTCTCGCTTTATCTCTCTCTAACTTTCCTCTCTCTCTTGCTTATCTTCTATTTCTCTTCCTCCTCTCTCTCTCTCTCTCTCTCTCTCTCTCTCTCTCTCTCTCTCTCTCTCTCTCTCTCTCTCTCTCTCTCTCTCTCTCTCTCTCTCTCTCTCTCTCTCTCTCTCTTGCTTGCTATCTTTCTCTTGCTTTCTATCTCTTTCTCTTGCTTTCTATCTCTTTCTCTTGCTTTCTGTCTCTTTTTCATGATTTCTATCTTTTTCTCTTGCTTTCTGTCTCTTTTTCATGATTTCTATCTCTTGTGCTTTCTATCTCTTTCTCTCTTGCTTTCTATCTCTTATGCAGTCTATTACTTTCTCTCTCATATGCTATCTCTTGCTTTCTCTCTCTCTTCCCTACTCTCTATCTCTCTTGCTTTCTCTCTCTTCCTTACTCTCTATCTCTCTCTCTCTCTCTCTCTCTCTCTCTCTCTCTCTCTCTCTCTCTCCTCTCTCTCTCTCTCTCTCTCTCTCTCTCTCTCTCTCTCTCTTGCTCTTACTTTCTCTCTCACTTTATATCTCTCTCTAACTTTCCTCTCTCTCTTGCTTCCTTTCTATCTCTCTCTCTTCCTTTCTCTCTCTCTCTCACTCTTGCTTTCTCTCTCTCTCACTCTTGCTTTCTCTCTCTCTCTCTTTCTCTTGCTTTCTCTCTCTCTCTCTCTCTCTCTCTCTCTCTCTCTCTCTCTCTCTCTCTCTCTCTCTCTCTCTCTCTCTCTCTCTCTCACTCACTTTCTCTCTCTCTCTCACTTTCTCTCTCTCTCTCTCTCTCTTTCTCTTGCTTTCTCTCTCTACTTTCTCTCTCTCCCTTTCTCCTCTCTCTCTCTCTCTCTCTCTCTCTCTCACTCCCTCCCTCTCTCCCTCCCTCCCTCCCTCCCTCCCTTTCTCCTCTCTCTCTCTCTCTCTCCTCTCTCTCTCTCTCTCTCTTTCTCGCTTTCTCTTGCTTACCTTTTATCTTTCATGCTCCCTTTCTATCTCTCTTGCTTCCTTTCTCTCTCTCTTGCTTCCTTTTTCTCTCTCTCTTGCTTTCTCTTTCTCTCTTTCTTACTTTTCTCTCTCTGTCTCTCTCGCTCTTGCTTTCTCTCTCTCCTGCTTTCTCTCTCTTATGCTATCTCTTGCTTTCTCTCTCTCTCTCTCTTGCTTTCTCTCTTATGCTATCTCTTGCTTTCTCTTTCTCTTGCTTTCTCTTTCTCTTGCTTTCTCTCTCTCTCTCTCTTGCTCTTACTTTCTCTCTTGCTCTTACTTTCTCTCTTGCTCTTACTTTCTCTCTCACTTTATCTCTCTCTCTCTTCCTTACCTTCTATTTTTTCTTGCTTCCTATCTATCTCTCTTCCTTCCTTTCTCACTCTCTTGCTTTATCTCTCTCTCTTACTCTCTTGCTTTCTCTCTCTCTTGCTTTCTTTCTCTTTCTTGCTTTCTCTCTCTTATGCTGTCTCTTGTTTTCTCTGTCTTATGCTAGCTCTTGCTTTCTCTCTCTCTCTCTCTCTCTCTCTCTCTCTCTCTCTCTCTCTCTCTCTCTCTCTCTCTCTCTCTCTCTCTCTCTCTTCCTTACCTTCTATTTCTCTTGCTTCCTTTCTATCTCTCTTCCTTCCTTTCTCTCTCTTCTTTCTCTCTCTCTCTTCCTTCCTTTCTCTCTCTCTTCCATCCTTTCTCTTTTGCTTTCTCTCTCTCTCTCTCTCTTGCTTTCTCTCTCACTCTCTTGCTTTCTCTTTCTCACTTTCTCTTGCTTATCTTTTATCTCTCATGCTTCCTTTCTATCTCTCATGCTTCCTTTCTATCTCTCTTGCTTCCTTTCTCTCTTTTTCTCTCTTTCTTACTTTTCTCTCTCTCTCTCTCTCTTGCTTTCTCTCTCGCTTTCTCTCTCTTGCTTTCTCTCTCTTGCTTTCTCTCTCGCTTTCTCTCTCTTGCTTTCTCTCTCGCTTTCTCTCATGCTATCTCTTGCTTTCTCTCTCTCTCTTCCTTTCTCTCTTTCTCTCTCTCTATCTCTTGCTTTCTCTCTCTCTTGCTCTCTCTCACTTTCTCTCTCTCTCTTGCTCTCTCTCTCTCTCTCTCTTGCTTTCTCTCTCTCTATCTCTTGCTTTCTCTCTCTTACTTTCTCTCTTGCTCTCTCTCACTTTCTCTCTCTTGCTCTCTCTCTCTCTCTTACTTTCTCTCTCTCACTCTCTTTCTCTCTCTCCTTTTCTCTCTCTTGCTATCCCTTTCTCTCATTCTCTCCCTTTCTCCCTCTCTCTCTCTCTTACTTTCTCTCTTTTTCTCGCTTTCTCTTGCTTACCTTTTATCTTTTATGCTCCCTTTCTATCTCTCTTGCTTCCTTTTTCTCTCTCTTGCTTCCTTTCTCTCTCTCTTGGTTTCTCTTTCTCTCTCTCTCTCTCTCTTGCTTTCTCTTTCTCTCTTTCTTACTTTTCTCTCTGTATCTCTCTCTTGCTTTTTCTCTCTTTTTTGCTTTCTCTCTTGCTTTCTCTCTCTCTCTCTTGCTTTCTCTCTTGCTTTCTTTCTCTCTCTCTCGCTTTCTCTCTCTCTCTCTCTTACTTTGCTCTCTTCTCTCATTACCTTATATTTTTTCTTGCTTCCTTTCTATCTCTCTTCCTTCCTCTCTCTCTCTTACTTTCTCTCTCTCTCTCACTCTCTTGCTTTCTCTCTCTCTCTCTCTCTCTCTCTCTCTCTCTCTCTCTCTTGCTTTCTCTCTCTCTCTCTTACTTTCTCTCTCTCTTTTGCTTTCTCTATCTCTCTCTTACTTTCTCTCTCTCTTTTGCTGTCTCTATCTCTCTCTTTTGCTTTCTCTCTCTGCTTTCTCTCTTTCTCTCTCTGCTTTTTCTCTCTCTCTCTCTGCTTTCTCTCTCTCTCTCTCTCTGCTTTCTCTCTCTCTCTGTGCATTCTCTCTCTCTCTCTGCTTTCTCTCTCTCTCTGTGCATTCTCTCTCTCTCTCTGCTTTCTCTCTCTCTCTCTGCTTTCTCTCTCTCGCTTTCTCTCTTTCTCTCGCTTTCTCTCTCTTTTACTTTCTCTCTTTCTCGCTTTCTTTGTCTTGCTTCCTTTCTCTCTCTCTTGCTTCCATTCTCTCTCTCTTGCTTTCTCTTTCTCTCTTTCTTATTTCCTCTCTCTTGCTTTCTCTCTCTCTCTCTTGCTTTCTCTCTCACTCTCATGCTTTCTTTCTCTCTCTTGCTTTCTCTCTCTTACTTTCCTCTCTCTCTTCCTTACCTTCTATTTTTCTTGATTCCTTTCTATCTCTCTTCCTTTCTTCCTCTCTCTTTTCCTTCCTTTCTCTCTCTCTCTCTCTCTCTCACTCTCTTGCTTTCTCTGTCTTGCTTTCTCTCTCTCTCTTGCTTTCTCTCTCTTATGCTGTCTTTTGCTTTCTCTCTCTTATGCTATCTCTTGCTCTCTCTCTCTCTCTCTCTCTCTCTCTCTCTCTCTCTCTCTCTCTCTCTCTCTCTCTCTCTCTCTCTCTCTCTCTCTTTATCTATCCCTTGCTCTTATTTTCTCTCTTGCTTTATCTCTCTCTCTTACTTTCCTCTCTCTCTTCCTTACCTTCTATTTCTCTTGCTGCCTTTCTATCTCTCTTCCTTCCTTTCTCTCTCTCTTCCTTCCTTTCTCTCTCTCTTCCTTCCTTTCTCTCTCCCTTTCTTTCTCTCTCTTTTACTCTCTTGCTTTCTCTCTCTCTCTCTCTCTCTCTCTCTCTCTCTCTCTCTCTCTCTCTCTCTCTCTCTCTCTCTCTCTCATTCATTCATTCTCTTTTGCTCTCTCTCTCTCCCCCTTTCCCTCTCTCTTTTGCTTTTTTTCTCTCTCTCTCTCTCTGTCTCTCTCCCTTTCTCTCTTTCTCTATCCCTTTCTCTCTCTTGCTTTCTCTCTCTTTTACTTTCTCTCCTTCTTTTGCTTTCTCTCTTTCTCACTTTCTTTCTCTTGCTTACCTTTTATCTCTCATGCTTCCTTTCTCTCTCTCTCTCTCTCTCTTTTGCTTTCTCTCTCTCTCTCTTTTTCTTTCTCTCTCTCTCTTGCTTTCTCTCTCTTTCACTCTTGCTTTCTCTCTCTCTCTCTCTCTCTCTCTCTCTCTCTCTCTCTCTCTCTCTCTCTCTCTCTCTCTCTCTCTCTCTCTCTCCCTCTCTCTCTTGCTTTCTCTCTCTCTCTCTTGCTTTCTCTCTCTCTCTCTTGCTTTCTCTCTCTCTCTTGCTTTCTCTCTCTCTCTTGCTTTCTCTCTCTCTCTTGCTTTCTCTCTCTCTCTCTTGCTTTCTCTCTCTCTCTCTTGCTTTCTCTCTCTCTCTCTCTCCTCTCTCTCTCTCCCTCTCTCTCTCTCTCTCTCTCTCTCTCTCTCTCTCTCTCTCTCTCTCTCTCTCTCTCTCTCTCTCTCTCTCTCTCTCTCTCTCATTCATTCTCTTTTGCTCTCTCTCTCTCTCTCTTTTGCTTTCTTTCTCTCCTCTTTCTCTCTCTCTCTCTCTTTTGCTTTCTCTCTCTCTTGATTTCTCTCTTTTGCTTTCTCTTTCTCTCTTTTGCTTTTATTTATCTCTCTCTCTTTTGCTTTCTCTCTCTCTCTCTCATTTGCTTTCTCTCTCTCTTGC